TCACCGTACTGCCATACACTAGGGTTTTCTGAAACCCAGCCACTGGGATAGAGAAGGAAAACATAGTAGCCTATTTGGTTTCCAGCCAATGACTGCATTTAATTTGACCTCACTGTAATTCAATTACATTTTAGGTTTGAATAGAGAATACAGGAAGCAAATGTATTCTTTAATAAAAATTAAAAAAAATAAAATGACCAGAAGGTCATCAAGATTTTATTGGTTTCAACACATCTAGCAATAAGTGAAGAATGATAAATTACGCTTGTTATAATGATGAGCAGTTAACTGTGACTGTAGATAAATTAATATTTATATTTAAATCGTGCAACATGCATTATTTATTTCATATTATTTTTATTTGGGCTGAACCAATACAACTAAACAGCTATCTGTACAACTATCGGTACCGATAGTCTAGTGGTTAGCACACTGACATATAGTGCAACTGTGTCTCTGGCAACCCGTGTTCGATTCCTGGCTTAAGGTCCTTTGCTGATCATTCCACACTGTCCTGTGTAATAAGCACAAAAAGGCAAAACAAAAAAAAAAAGGTTGCACTTGCAAATTTGTGAGTTTTACTTTACAGTTACATGGTTGCTACTGTAAATGAAAACAGCGAAAATATTGTTATTTCTTCTACAGTAAGTTACTTGTCACTAGCTGCCAGTTAATTACTGTAGTTCTTTTCTACAGTAAGTTACTTGTCACTCGCTTCTGGTCAATTACTGTGCTTTTTATACAGTAAGTTACTTGTCACTTGCTGCCAGTTAATTACTGTGAATTTCAAAGTCAGTTTCTTACAGTGTATATATACATAACCAATGTATGTAAGAGAAAGAGACCCAATGATTCTAAATTCAACAACAATTCATTCTAAAACATTCATAAAACCAAGTTTCTACAGTCTCTGTCTTAATAAATCTCAGTAAGCACTTTTCTCTTGTTGTATTCATGTACAGAACAGAAACATATAGGCCTACATAACCAAAATAAGAAAGAGTGAATACAAACTAAATGATTCATTCTAAAATTTCGAATGCAATTATTCATTCTAACATTCTAAAACGGTCATAAAACCAAGTTTACAGGCTAGCCTACAGCCACTGCTTATTTTGAGTCCACGTGTTAATAAATCTCAGCAAGCACTTTTCCGATGCTGAGATTGCATGCGCAGTGTACACGAGGCGCAGTCGTGTCTGTAAACACGATAAATGAATAAATAGTTTGCTTGTATGACTTCGAGAGCCAGACACACAGAAAGTAAACTGCAGTAGCATGCAATCACCATGGAAACGGCAGCAAACAGAGCGCGGAGCTGCTCACCTGTAGGGGTCTCGGGCTGTATGGGCGTCCATGTTACCCTCGTTTCCGTGAGAACCACGTCGTGGCTCTTCTTCCCGATTTGGAAGATTCCTCTCCCAATCGGTTCGTCCGGTCTGTGTTTCTTTTCTGTTCGCCCCTTATCGGCGTCATCTGAGCATAACTGAGGGGCCGAGACGGAGCGTTTCTCGTTTTGCTGCTGCTGTTTTCGCTTTTTCTTTTTTGCCTTGACTCGCTTTCTCGTCCCGCGAGGAGACACTGGTTGCGTCTCGCGCAACTCTTCCTGACTCTCCGACCACGCGTTGAGGACATTTATCGATTTACACGGGGATTCAAACATAACGTCAAAGCTTGCGGGGCAAACTGGCCTTTGTGTCTTAATTTACCGGCTCTCGGTCGCTAGGCTCCTGAGGAAGTTCCTCGTAGGCATGCACCTCTAGAGCGCACGCCCGCTGGGCTTTATTAGCCGAGCACGCGCATTTAGTCTGTTATTACCAGTGTTGGGGAAAGTTACTTTTAAAAGTAATGCATTACAATATTGCGTTACTCCATAAAAAAGTAACTAATTACGTTACTTTGTTACTTTTTATGGAAAGTAATGCATTACGTTACTTTTGCGTTACTTTTTAAATCTGGAATCCGGGCTTGCTTGTTTGTTTTTAAAATAAAAAAAGTTATATTTTTGGCAAATATAGTTTTTTTTGTGAGTGAGATGAATTAACGAATATTCATTTTTATTTTGAACTACAGTAACATCTGATTTCTCTCAACATGGGGACAGGAGAGCTGTCAATCAATACATTGGAAAAAAAAGTAACTTGCGTTACTTATTTGAAAAACTAACTCAGATATTCTCTTGTAAATTAAAAAGTAATGCGTTACTTTACTAGTTACTTGAAAAAAAGTAATCTGATTACGTAACTCGCGTTACTTGTAATGTGTTACCCCCAACACTGGTTATTACTATTTCAACTATTCATAACATTTGTGTGGTAATGTGAAATACTATGACAAGCCGTTTTAACATTTATCCATTTTATGTTACTATAAAACTAGTAACAAAATGTTTCATGTCTAATGAACAGTTAAAGTGCTAGTGCTAGTAAACCTGAAAAAATATTGGAAAACCAACTAGGAATGTAAAAAACATACTAGATAGTAGTTAGTAGTACTACTAGTAAAGCATTGGCCTGCTAGAAATCAATAGGCCTAGGCCTATAGCTATATGTGAACATTTCCCTATAGAATTGAATTGTAAAAAGGTCACTATTGCATTACTTTTAATGCAATTACTAGTTATTTTAAAAGTACTATAAATAGATACTAGTTAGTTAAATAATAAACAACATCTTGCAATAGCAAAGGAGTTAACACAAATATTTTAATTTTGTCAAACACTGATGGCACTTATGTAACAGTATTTACATGTTAACAAATATATAGGTTGCCTCAGACTTGGACGACTGAATTTGTATTCTTATTCTAATGACTGCATGCCTGGTTTATTTGGTGTGCTAAACAATTAGCCCGAGTACTAGGTGAACAAAGGTGTGAAAAAGTATTCCTCACACAGCACCTTGGACAGTTCCTGGATGTGGCCAAAGCTTCTGAGACTAAGCACTTTACTCCCAGTGGATGTTTCCCCTTTTTATATGCCAAGTGATTTTTTTAATGTTTTGTCAACAGCCTCAATGAAGTCGTATGAATTAAACACATTTCTAAAGGACGATGTTAGTCGTGATGTCTTGTATTTCTCTCATCTAGCCTCCAAAAATCTACAGGATTTTACGAGATTTTTATTTTGTTTTTTAATATTTATATTATATGATATCTTCAAATACTTTCATCTTCACACAGAACGTTGTTTTATTAATTTATCTTCGTACACGCTTCTAAAATGCGGGGGCATTTCAATAACTCCCTTTTACACCATTATCTTTTCATCTTCTTTATAGTCTATATTTTGCATGTGTGACAACTTTAACTTAATTTAATAATGAACAAAGGCTTTTCTGCACTTCAATAAAACACAAATATCTGATACATTTTAAGAAGATTTGTTTGCAGGCGTGGCATGAACAGTTGTGGATTATAAAAGAATCGAGGACAAATTCATTTACACTGATGTATGATGTGAATTTTTCCTATGCATTTGGTAATATAGTGTGTATTTAGAAATTCCAAATATTTTTTAGAGATGAAAACCTTTTACAAATGTATCGATATGCGCAACAGCGATGTTGACATTAAGCAACATTTCGTGATGCTGTATGTAATGTTATTTTGAGGAGATTATTTTACCCCTGTCTGGTTTTAAATAAACCTGGATAATTTCAGACTTTAGGAGGTGCATTTATATCGTGTCTCTGCGTTGGGCTCCTCTGTGCTGATTTAATATTTATTTTAGCTGTAGGCAATGCGCTCAGGTAAGTAACACTCTTATTGCGCACTAAATCGATAGTTAGTTGAAGCATACTAACAGTGAATATCCTTTAGGACAGGAAAAAAGGCTATGTGTTTAATAATATTCAAGGGTATAAATTCACATGACCTTGAGATTTAATATTAATAGTTTCAAAATTTAGCCAACAGTTTCAAACGTCTAAGCTATTCATCACACGAAACCTTTGATACTGTAGCCTAGATTCTGAGACTAACATGAATCATTTTTGTTCATCTATATTTGTGTTTCTGTCTGAATAATCAGATTAGAGCAAGTATGTGTTTTAAAGAAAATACAAATCATAATTAATGAGAGTAAAACGTATTCTGAAGGGCTGAGAGTTCATTACAAAAAATGACTGTAATAATGTTCAATTCAAAACCATTTGTTTTATTTCTTAAGCCTCCATCATGAACTGATACACACATACAACAGTCTCAAAACTAGAATCACTTTGAAATCAACCTGTTTTTGGTTGCATCTTCATTGTTTGTTCCTTCTTTGCAACCAATTAAAATTTCCAGTCGAAAATCCCCGAATAGTTAGAGCAGACTAATTCAGTCCATTATTTATTTTCCATCTTAGAAAGACATGCCTCTCGATCAGCTTTTACACAGGGTGAATTTAAAAGGTGATAGTCAAGCTTTTATGTACAACACTGAGACTCTAACACCGAATTTTTCCCCTCCAGCACTCAAAGCAATTCGCAATTCCACAAAGGATCACTGATTGAACGTAACATTAGACGGGATTCAGGGGGTGGGAATTGTGCAACTCTGCATGATTTTACAGTAATTCATTGCTAAGGCAACATTACAGATTTTTAAGCACTTGCCTGCTGGTTATTACTAGATTGAGTACTGTTCTGTATAAACAAGAGAGAAATCAGTTTTATAAAACATTAACATGAGGGGTTGCATGGAATGATGCAGGGATCTGACTTTATCAAAATTAACAATTCTATACAAAACCACAACAAAATAATTCAGTATGGGATAGATAAGTAGTAAAAGGTAATAGGTTGAAAAATATATCAATCTCTATTAATTTCTATAATTGGCCCAGTATTGGATTAAAAATTGCATAGATTCCAAATTATTGCTTGTGATTTTGTAGCATGGATAATTAACACATTATGAAGAAGGTCACGCCTGTTCCCACCTGTGTGTGACCGCAACGTAGAAGCGCTATAGAATACAATACATAAAGGTGAACGAGAATAAACGAATTCTCTCTTCTCCTAAAGGCAGTAACAACAATAAATACGTACATAAGATTAAGCATATAATGTTGTTGCTCTTTTTGCATCAGCCATAACAGAATACCGTGACGAGCAGTCTCACAAATGTCCGTTAGAATCACGAGTCGTGAAATATCGCGTTCAGCTGGGCGTTCATGATCCGCTCGTGATGCGAGTGCCCTTCGTACGACATAATGTTCTCCATGGGTACATCACAGCGCTGCGTGGAGCCCGCGTAAAGAGACGCGTGTCCCTGAGCGCCGGCCAAGCCCGCCGCCTGATAATGCATGGTAAAGGCGTAGTTCTTCTCGAATTCCGACGAATGCTCGTGTTTGAAGGAAAAGTTCCCATTGACGCTCAAAGGCGGGCTAAGGGGTCCGTCAAACGAGGGACTGGTGCAGTCTGTGAGCGCGGTGTCAAAGAACGGCTCCAGTGCGCTCCCGTACGCGTGCGGCTTGACGTGAAAGATGTGAGAGCTGTCCATTGTACCGTATGGAGGGCTGGGAAGACCGGGCGTCTGGTAGGAGTAGGGAAGCGCGGAAAAGGAAGCACTTGCTGTTTGCATATGAGGGGGCATCTCCTGGCTCTGCTCGGGGAGAAAAGTTCTGGGGTTCAGTTGGAGGCATCCTGCAACCAAATTGGTCGTGGGCTGGGACAAGCCCTTGCACAGGGCCTGCACGAAAGACATCAGATCCGGGCTCTTGCCCGACCTCAGGATTTCCGATAGCGCCCAAATGTAGTTCTTGGCCAGTCGGAGCGTTTCGATCTTGGAGAGCTTCTGCGTTTTGGAGTAGCACGGCACAACTTTGCGCAGGCTCTCGAGCGCGTCGTTGAGGCCGTGCATGCGGTTCCTCTCCCGGGTGTTCGCCTTCATGCGCCTCATTTTGAACCTCTGCAGACGCGCCTTGGTCATCTTCTTCTTCTTGGGTCCTCGCCTTTTCGGCTTGGTGTCGTCGCCGTCTTCTTCTTCCTCCTCTTCCTCCTCGTCGTCCTCATCTTCGAGTCGGTTGAGTCCCACTTCGTCGTCCTCCATATCCTTATGCATGGGCAAGCTGGTGTTCTCCACGTCTCGCTCGTCTTGGGAGCTGCTGTGACACTTGTCGGTCCAGTCCGTGCTGGTTTGAGGCTCCAGCATCATGCTTTCCTCGGTGTAAGATTTCGTCATGTTGGAACTCTGCAAAGCGACAAATAAAGCCTTTAGACGTCCATTCAGTCACATTTTTCTGTATTATCTTTAAATGAGAGCCATGCAACCATTAAGAAATGAAATGCGCTACACTGCACGTCCAAAATGCAACAACACATGACCTGTGGATGAATCATAGCTGCTTACTTTATGCAGCTTTATTATGTAACATCATCAGTGTTTCCTAATCAGATACAGTCCTTGTTGTTCATTTTGAAATAAAGGAATTTAATAAGGAATATCGTTTTATGTATTTTTATTCTATAGGTATTCAGAAACAAAATCTAATTTCTGGATAGATTTAGAGTAAATTATTGAATTGAATTCTCATAAGTAAATTGGTATTGCCTTCCTGCTTAACCGAACAGACTGAACAGCAAGATATAACTAGTTTCAACATCCGAATTTTAGACATTAAGATTGTAAAGTTGTATTTATTAGTCCCTTTACAGGAAAATTCGAAGTGTATAACTGCATTGCAAAAATGTTTTCATTATGTTAACAGAATCCAATTTTACTTAGTTTTCTTCATCAGCAATTAAATTGAAACGCGCACTTAACTTGTCATTGCAAGTTAGCACTTCTTCACTATCTAATGTAACAATTAATTTACGTTTTCAGTTTTTATAGGTTGATTTGTGGGTTTTATATGCTTCATTATAGTGGATCAGCTAAACAAAATCTAGCTATGCCGATCAAAATTAGTTTACCACAACGCTATCATCATCATAAGAATGATCTGAATGCGAAATAGTTCGACACAAATATGTGAAATACAGGCAGATTTATTAAAGAGAGAAACATGACATACCTAGGATTTGTTGAATGTCTTGTTATGATAGTTTCATGCCCCTCGTGGTGGTGTGGGAAGTCCTGCGGATTGAAGCCTAATGTGGCTGCGCCGATGGGATGCTCTGGTTATATAGCGGTGCTGCTGATGCTGTAAGATGCGAGTGGATGTCTGTCTGTGGCTGCCTCTACAGTCCCACCCTGCACCCGTGATTGGCATCTGGCCCCGCCCCTTCCCCCGGCACGCGCCATATGGCCGGCTACGTCAGGAAAACGGCCTCAAGCGTCACGTGATCTCTTCCATTTGTATTCGCCAGAGCTCTGTATTCCGTCCCTTTGTGGCCGAAAGAAAGTGGCCATCTGTCGCCAGTTAGAGACTCCGTGGACCTGTTTGTACCCGCAGGATGGATTAACCCTTTCAAGCGTGGGACACATTCAATCACGACCGGCTCTTTCTTTAGCTAGGATACATCCCGTTTGTCTTAATGCGGACAATTCCTTATATGCGTGTCCATAAATTAGCTCATAATCACTCAGTAGGTTTTGTCACTAATTATGAGTGGAAATAGGTCCTGTCTAAAAGAATATAAATACGCCTAAATTATATAATATTTAAATTCAATTAGAATTATTAGTAGGATATTGTTATATTATCATTACTATTCGTAGCCTGTTTTACTTCACTAATTAGGCCTATTTTTACAAAATAAATAAATAAAACAATCGAATTTTATGATGAATTACAGCCTGTATGATTTTTGAGAAATGGGTGGTTTGTTGGGGTGGTTGGGTGGATTTGTCGCTAATCTTTTGCAAATATCTCGTGATATTGATTGTAAACAGTGATTGCAAAGTCTGGCTCGAGACCCCGGTAATGAGTCCCCCTCTTTTCAACGCTGGTCGGTCGGCACGCGAGTCACACGCGTACTGACAAAAAGCCTGTTTCACGGCTCACTAACCTGATCCAGCGTCCGAAATCTGCTGTTTTCTATTCAATTTAATTTCATTGCCCCTCCAACCCCCCTAAAAAAAGATAGACCAACGGGATGGCCGTTGAAAAGGCGAGAACATAAATGAGGGAATAACTATAGACAATGGAATTTAAACGCACGTGGAGCGTTTGTGCTTTGAGGAAATTCGATTTTCCCTGGAATTATTTAGACACCTGACAAGCAACAAAGCCCTTTTCACTGTAAAAGTGAGTGCATGATCTAATCATGCCTCAATTAATCACGTATTTAGGCTAGTTGTTAGTTTTGAGAGCATTGTCTTTAAAATATTGACCTATGTTCGATTTATTTTTGCGTTCAGAAATACAGCTTAAAATCAGACCACCGAACATATCCAGAAATGATATAATTTAGGCTTGCTTAGCTTTGAATTGATCAACTTCATAAAAGCATATTAAAGATTTTTGCATGCAGGTTTTACATTTGTTTCGTTGAGGTAATGCAATTATTGTTGTTCTCTCCAAGTCTTGAGTTGAGTATCTCGTCTCTATCCTCCCATGCTGTTTGTTCATGCGTGGAAAATATTGCATTTCCATTGTTTGCTTATCTGTGCTTATCTCTCCTGACATCTGTTAATGGCCTACCGCAGACATTTGATAACTAGGTAACCGTGAAGTGTCCACGAACACTCATGGGCTCTGAGTGCTGCTAATCTTTCTCATAAAAATCGACAAGTTTCTGCCGGTCAAAGGTCCGAAAGGAAGACGTCTGTTTGCCTGTGTATATCTCGCTGTTGCCATGCAATCACCAAGAGATGTGAGGAGAGTGATTTCAGCACCTCTGACAGCAACTCAGTGGACTTGTGTCGCATTTAGTTCATGCTTTTGCATTCCTCGTTTCTTCAGCATCCCACACACTGGCACTTTTTATTTGATCTGCTATTACAAATTACAGGCATAAAAATATACAGACTCTGTACACTCTAAAAAATGCTGGGTTAAATACAACCCAGTGCTGGGTAAAATAGGGACAAACCCAGCAATTGGGCTGTTTTGACCCAGCGGTTGGGTTAAATGTTTAACCCAACCTTCTGGGTAGTAACCCAACCGCTGGGTCAAAACAGCCCAATTGCTGGGTTTGTCCCTATTTTACCCAGCACTGGGTTGTATTTAACCCAGCATTTTTTAGAGTGCATAATGTCATATTACATTGCTTTACACAGACTGATATTTTCTCTGGCTTAATACTGAGGTGAATAAATAAAGGGCTAAATTTCAGATTATTTTTTAAACTGATATATAAAATAATGTATTTGCGATTATAGTTATATATATATTTAGGGATTATTCAATGACTTTGAGGGATCGACTTCGTAAAATATCGTAATCGATAGGCTAGTTCTAGTTCGTTTGGCGCCCTTAGCACAATTATCCAACTGTCACATAGGCCTATCTCAATGTTGTTGTTTTTTTTGGTCGAATCTGTGATGTGCTAATCTACAACAACTATTTATTTATTTATTTATGTAGCGTCTGATACAAACCGATAACCGTGATACGGTTATCGACAAAGACGAGTTTTGTTCGCGAAAACTAACTTGTTTTCTAACTTTTGCGTGTTTGAAAAAAACAGACTACTTATGCTGTAGCCTATTAAAAAAAACTTTAAGTACCGGTATAAAAGGAACAGAAGTAGGTCGCTTCCCGTAAGCGTTCGTTAACGCTTCCTGTAAGCTTCCGCTCTCGACACAACACAATACGAGGTCACGCCAATGATATTTATTAATTATTTGACCTTTAACGCCCTCTGCTTAAACCAACAGACCTTTCCTCAGACTGGAACAGTGGATCCAAACCAAATCTCTCTCTGCCTGAATGGCTCTCCCGACTGAATAAATCCCTATCTCTTATTTCATTGCGAGTTGCTCTAATTACTTATGCAAAAATGCAGATTTGTATTAATTAGTTTATCCGCTGATTAGTTCTGTGGTATTTTGGCGCAATAAATCATGCAGAGGCACTCGTTTTGGCTGGTGACCCATCTGTGCCGCTCTGTGGATTCAGTGTTTCTCTACTGTAGTTCAAGGGCTCGTTTGGGTTGCAGGTAAGGCCACCTGCTGCATATGGGGCCAGTGCAGCCTCTCGAGGCAGTCTGCTGCTCGCTTCAACAGCATTTCAATTCACACACATTTAACAAGAAAATAAACGGATAACACGGGTAAAATAATTTCCTTTAGCAAGTCGTTAATGTTATATAGCCTAATAAAAAACATCAGTAGGCCTAGACATATCATGTAGCCTATGATAACATATAAATATAAGCTATTCATCTTTAAAATAATGATCTGTGCATTCTAATGAAATAATGTTTATTAATGTTGTATTAAAGTGATTGTGTATAATATATAAAACATTTGTATTCATGCTTAACAAAAACAAATATTTTTGCACCAGAGTTCTACGAATTAGAAATAATTTTGATTCTATGTATTATTTAGCAATCATTTATGGACTTAATTCCCAGTGCATTAAATTAGCCTATATAAAAAGAAATAAACAGCTCCGTTGGCTTTCACCTTATTATATTTAAATGTACTGTAAATATATTATTTTATTTGAAATGGTTATAAGTCAACGCATTTTACGTTTAATATGCTGTTATATTCACTTAGGAACCCTGTGTATGAGATCGGTAGAGTCAAGCAACGATTCTGAAGAGTCTAATCATGGTCACGAACGCCATCTTCTGATTAAATGGAGAAACTACACTGAAAATAAGGCAAGTAACACTGAAGTAAATGTGAAAAATGTAACTAGACTGAAATAGTATTTTCTTGTAAAACGTAAATCTAATGATTTTTTTTATTTTAATTTTTATTTACAAGTTCGAAAAATAATTTCCTACAATGTATTCACTTTTTCAAAATGTCTGAATATACAATAATTCATGAAATATATATATATATATATTTTCTCTATCAATTAACTTCTATTAACTAAATTAAATCAACATTTGGTGTTACCATCCTTTGCTTTTAAAGCAGCTTTTGCCCTCGGGTGCACTTGCGCATAGTTTCTCAGGTAGCTTTGCAGGTAGGTTTATTGAAGCATCTTGGAGACGTTGCCACAGTTCTTCTGGATTGAGTCTGTCTCAGTTTGTTCTGTTTCTTCATGTCATTCCAGACAGACTGGATGATGATGAGATCAGATCTCTGTGTGCAGCACTGGTTGTTGTCAGACTCCTCGTGTAAACAAAAATCTCACTGGATTATTACAATTAATGGCAAAACGAATGTTTGGAAATGTAAACTGATATTATATATTAGACTAGAAATAACTGACTTAAAACCATGTTCAGCTGGTCAAAATACTAGTGTTCTAATAATTTTGGCCAACACTGTATATATTATATTACATTTGTCCTGAAAACACAGTTCAAGCTTCAATTCATGCAACAGCTGTTAAAAATGCTGATATTGAAATGAATTGGTTGTAATTTAAAAGAGCTTTAGAGGTGTTTGTAGCATAAGACTCCACTGCTAGAGCAAACAAACATTTGCAAAATGTGGCTATTGACTGAAAACCTTACTAAAGTTATTAAAATATAGGTCTAGTGTGACAACCAGCCCTGGCCTCCCCTACCTCAATAATCGTGAACACCAGTTTTACTGTTAAATACTTACTGCGTTTTTACCTCACAAGCAAAAATGTTAAAGGTCTTCTTCAGCATTATTTGGGCAGTCCAAAAATTCTAGCAAACTCATGCAGTTCTGCGGTTTTATAGCATATGTTGCCTTTTCCATGAGTAGTGTTTTACCTTACATTTAAGATTAAATCTATCCAGCACTGTAAATACTAAAGTATATTATGTTATTTTAAGGGGGCAGATAATATGTTCTACTCATATATCATATTTGGAAACATTTAGGATTCATAATATCAAAGGGATAACTATTGTTGTGCACTTCTGAGATATATTGCTTCAGAAATACTGACAGTGGTCCATAAATCAAGTTGTAACCATCCACTGGGTAATAACACGAACACAATACCTCTTCCCATCTGTTTTATGGCAAAAGAACAGTAATTAAGATTCCACTGAGAAATGTTAGCAATACAATTGAATTGAATTAGCAATTACTTCAGTTTTGCTGAAACAAACAGGCATCACGTACGCAAAGTCTTATTTTTTATTAATAATTTCTTGTGAATTATTCTGGAGCACTTAGTATAGACTGAAATAACTAC